AAATATCGTCAACAAACCCTAAATTCAGTGTGAATTTTCCCTCGCCTGTTTCAGTAAAGGAAATCGCGTTGGCAAAATTACGAGTGTATCATAGTTGGCCTAATATCAGATCGGTTCCATTTGGTGGTCAGAGACCTAATAATTCTCTGGTATTTGCATATAGGAATAAAAAAGATGACACTCTAGATTGGAACGTTGTTTCAATACCAACTGGATCCTATCAAATTGAGCAAATTAATAATGAATTACAACGTAGAATAAAATCAATTACTAAAAAAGAATCAAAAATTGCGATAACAGTTCATGAACCAACACTGTCATCTACAATTGAAATAGGCTCTCCTGGGTATGTTGTAGATATTTATAACAGTTCAATAAGAACAGTATTAGGATGGCCCGAAGATCCACCTAGAAGTGCTGGTAATTCCACGCCCGAGCCTGTAAAATCTGATTACGTCACTGATGAAATAGGACCTGAAAATCCATCAAAAGGATATAAAAAATTCGAGGATATAAACTTCACAAAAAGATATCGATATAAGAATCAATATGGTGAAGATGTGTGGAGAATTCCATTTTTTAATGATTATATCCCACAGAAAGGTGAAATTCTGGAAATACATGAAACAAGTCCAACATTTGTAGATATTAAAGATCACATCCTTGATAGAATGAATAATGATTTTTTGTCGTTATTACCCTCATTAAGATCTGGCTTTCTTACACAAGCTGAGTTTACTAGTGTAGTCGCCGCGGGTAATAAAATTATCGATGACATGGAAATATTTAATTCGAGGATTACTAATCTCTTCACTGATGAAAATAGCCCGATTTCAAAAACTAGCTCAGCCCAAGATTATAAAAAAAATATAAATGAAAATCCAAATTATAAATTACCAGGATATAACGTTCCCGAGTTAAAGAAAAAACTCAGAACTGCTATCGACGAAGGATTTAATAAAATTTATCAATCATGGAAAGATAGCCAGCCGAAGCCTATTATCCTCACTTATAATAATTCTCCCGACGGCGACGGTAGACATATCGCACCGAACAATGTGGATATTTCATCAGTGATTGCACTTAATTTAACGTGTGATGTAATCGAAGGAAGTTATCAAATTAATATGGAACAATCAAATCAAGCCCGACAAGGTTACATTCTTTATTCATTTGCACCAACAGCACCCCCCGGATTTTTAATTGTTGAGAATCCGACTAATCCAGTCTATATGCAATGTCAAAATGATTCACTAACTAGAATTAATTTTACACTCACCGATCAGTCAAATAATTTGATTGATCTACGTGGTGAAGTATTATCGATTAGTCTGTTTGTGAAAAGCTAACAAATAATTTGTATTAATCAGCAGCAGGGAGGGTGAGATGACAACATATTTGCGACGTAGATGGCAGCAATTTGAGGGTGGTTATGACAATGTATTTGCGACAAAATCGCTAAGGCTCCATTTGTAAAATGGGGTCTTTATTTTTTTTTTTTTTGTTGAAATATGAGATTTCGTAGGAAGGCTCTATTGGGCATTCTGAGGCTTTAATCGATTTTGTCGCAAAAATTTGTAGGGTTCACCCTCCCTGCTGCTCATGAAGATCCGTTCCATTAATCTTTGTGCCAAAGATTGTCTTTCTGTAGAATGGAAAATGTTCAACAGACTGACTTGAATTAAAGTTTTATGCTTTACAAAATCTTGTTTTAAGTGAGTTCTCTTCATCTGCTAAGGCATTTTTAATTCATATTTTAACAATAAAGTTTTTTTTCAGCAATAGCTATCTTTTTTTCATCTTTCCTTCAAATGATATATACTTTCAAAGACAGATGACATAGCCTCTTTTTTTTAAAAGAAATTTATAATTTTATAAATTGCCATAAGTAATGAAATATTTGTTCATTTGTATTCAAGTTTCATCTCTATATTAAAGTTTTTAAAACTGAAGTTAAAAGTAATATATATGTGTGATGGATTCATTTCTAAAATAGCTTTCCCATTGTTTTGGACACCGAAAATTCAAGAAGGCAGATATATACCTATGTACAATCAAGTTTTATTCATTGGACACAGTCTTTAACAATCAAAAGAATCTGAATAATTTGGGTGTCTCACAGTCTGGCCAGTGACCAGCCTGTCTAATTTTATACAATTGCCAATACAGACTCATTCATATTGCATTAAATTAACATTTTGGTACAGGATGACGACTTTAATGGAATTTGTCACTGCCCTTTTTAATATCAGTGTGCACAATTTACTTGAATTTTGTAATGAACAAGGGGAATAATTGTTTTGGGGTGGATCAGGCTCATTGAGTATCTATAATTGGTATAGAGTATCTATAATGGGTATAGAGTATCTGTAATGGCTATAGAGAGGATCTATAACCATTAGGAATACAGAGGATCTTTAATTGATGGGTATAGACATTCATAATTGGTATAGAGTATCTATAATGGGTATAGAGTATCTGTAATGGCTATAGAGAGGATTTATAACCATTAGGAATACAGAGGATCTTTAATTGATGGGTATAGACATTCATAATTGGTATAGAGTATCTATAATGGGTATAGAGTATCTGTAATGGCTATAGAGAGGATCTATAACCATTAGGAATACAGAGGATCTTTAATTGATGGGTATAGACATTCATAATTGGTATAGAGTATCTATAATGGGTATAGAGTATCTGTAATGGCTATAGAGAGGATCTATAACCATTAGGAATACAGAGGATCTTTAATTGATGGGTATAGACATTCATAATTGGTATAGAGTAATGGGTATAGAGCGGATCTTTGTCCAATGGGTATAGAGAAGATCTTTATCCAATGGATATTTACATGTTTTTATCAAATGGAATTTTTGTCTAGTGGATCTGGACAGGATTTTTATGTAGTTGGTATAGACAAAATCTTTATCCAGTAGGTATTGAGGGGATCTTTATGAAATTAGTAAAGAGGGAATATTTATGAAATGGGTTTAGACAGGATCTTTAATGGGTATAGAGAGGATATTTATCCTGTGGGTGTTGACAGGATCTTTATCCAATGGTATTGGTTAATCTTTATTCAGTGAGTATAGAAAGGACCTAATTCCAGTGGGAATAGAGAGGATCTTTATTCATTGGGTATAGAGATCATCTTTATCCAGTGGGTATAGACAACTACTGTCTTAGAACAAAGGCTGGTTCCTCAGTCAATAAGGAGCAATGACTCCACATAGTGACATACAATAGGCTTGTGGCATGTGCACAATTTCATCAATGATATAACCCAGAGGGGGGGGTCATTCACAATTGTTTATTGTTTCTAGTGATGGACTTTGTTAGCTTGGTTTGTAGAGCACTGGATTCATAATCCATGGATTGCAGGTTCAATACCTGACAGCCTAAGTAGAATTCATCTTTGTGCCCTTGGGAACTGTTTGGCTCCATTTTCCTTTTCACAGTATATCCAATAACATGTTGAAAATGTGGTTCAAATGTATTTTGAATCTTGCTAGAAACCTTTGCTTGATGGTTGCTATTTACCAGTACAGCCACACAAAAACCACATGACTAGTTTGTATATGATTTTAGTATTCTGGGATTGAGGCCTTTCAGGTCTGTGTAATCCATGGCAATTCAGAATGGCTACACTTACTAAACGTATAAAAGCCTTTAACTAAATGTATCACATAACGTCTTTGCATGAAATTTTGTTTAAGTGTTGTATATGATGGCTTCCTTTTGCTTAAAATAAAAAAAAACTTCAAATGATTTATTCTCAAAAACTCTTGAAAGAATCTTGCCAAAAGCATTATGTTATGAAGTACTTTCAAATTTGTTCGACTGATGATGATCCACCAGTAGGGACACTATTACTAAAAACAATCGGTATTAAAAAATATCTAAAAAAAACCCATCAATTAAATTTTACAGGAACCTCGTGTGTGTAGGGATTCAAAGCCTGCAGAAATTATGTTGACAGGCCATAAAAAGTGGCTGCCTTTACTAAAAAGAGAAAATTCAGATCTCGAATACTGACCAGCAATATCTGACTGGACTTGAAGGAAAGCATCCTGGGATGAAGCTTTTAAATTGTCAGCAAATGATGATCTGCCATTAAATAACATGGCCCTTATTGTGAGAAATGCCATTCTTTATAAAGCTTCTCAGAAACCACCGAACAGAATTGAACCAGTAATGTGCAACATAATGGCATGCAAATACATTCAAAGTATCGTCACCGTTACTAAATACAGAGAAACTTTTAATTGACTGAAAAGAATCTGCCTGATAGAATTTTACCAAGCTTGGATAGAAGACATCGTGGCATAGAATTTTACCAAGCTTGGATAGAAGACATCGTGGCATAGAATTTTACCAAGCTTGGATAGAAGACATCGTGGCATAGAATTTTACCAAGCTTGGATAGAAGACATCGTGGCATAGAATTTTACCAAGCTTGGATAGAAGACATCGTGGCATAGAATTTTACCAAGCTTGGATAGAAGACATCGTGGCATAAAATTTTTACCAAGCTTGGATAGAAGACATCGTGGCATAGAATTTTACCAAAGTTATAAGACATTGTGGTGTAGAATTTTACAGAGCTTAGAAGACATCGTGGCATAAAATTTTACCAAGCTTGGATAGAAGGCATCGTGTCATAAAATTTTACCAATCTTGGATAGAAGACATTGTGGCATAAAATTTTTACCAAGCTTGGATAGAAGACATCATGGCATAAAATTTTACCAAGCTTGGATAGAAGACATCGTGGCATAAAATGTTACCAAGCTTGGATAGAAGACATCGTGGCATAGAATTGTATCAAGCTTAGATAGAGGACATCGTGACATTTAAGTTTATTCAAATATTGATGACTGACCTTCAAAGTTGCTTTCTGTACTCATAAAAATAAATGCGTTGCCTTCTCATATGCCATTCGGTACGATTGACCAAATTTGGCAGAAAGTGAAGACCTTTCAGATTAATGCAATTGATGTTGACTCACCATCAGATACGGCCACCAATAGAAAAACCAAGTTTATGTATTAATCTCACAAAACCATTCTTCAGAATTTGAGTAACTTTGACAGAAAGCTATACATGCCTTTTAATATTGAAATACATAATTTATGCTGATGTGACATAATATTTAAATAAAAATACAAAAAGAAATTGATACAATTTATATAACAAAAAAATCAACAAAACGAAGAAATTTCTACAAAAGGCACATTGCTCTTTCATTTACTTACTGTGCAGATATCAGCCAAGTGAGTGATCTTGTGCTCACTTGGATCTTTGTATGAGTTTTCCAGCAAGAGTATTATATTTTAAAATAGAATCTTATCTGAACATTTATGGAAAATTGTTATAAGCACAACAGTTGGTCATTTAAACTTGTAGGTGCAAAACAAATTTATCAGTGACTGGATGAATCGTCATAATTCAGTCCCAGCAGTTCAGTAAATAGTCTGTTTAAATGTATGACATCATTGGGAAATTTACATTTTTAAATCTGCTGAGATAATTTCAGTAAAATTGCATACCAATTTGTCTGACATTCATTAGTGTAATAGTACTAAACACCCACCCCTGAAAACTAAAGCATTTACAACAGCTTGCTATCAGACATTTTTTTTATTATTGAATAATCCAATCCGTGGCCCACAACCTCCGACTGTGACTCGAGAGACATAACGCAAAATCCATCACAAACGCGTATTCCTGTGTGGCTGCGTGTATTAATGTTTGGTTAGAAAATATTTTAAAAGGTCATTTTATTCGAATATTTTTGTGATCTGACCATTGATTCCCTCTTAGAGACTATAGAGGCAACGATTATTTCAAAACTAATTTCACAGGTAAAGAAAATAATGTACTTTTGTATCATAAACGTAAACATTATTAGATTCATATTCTTTTTTCTTTTGAACCCTTGTTTTATTGATGAATCATCAAATTCCAGTGTAAATACCAAGCCTGATATGCTCTACTCAGTGTAGGATATAAGCCTGTAGAAAGAGGTAGCAGTTTTTGGAAGGAGATGATGTATTGCATGATTAGATTTGAGCTATTGTTATCCAAGAGTTATGCTCAGTATATTGTCTGCTGAATATGTATAGTTGTTTGTCTTTTTGTGATAAATGAAAAAAAAAAGATGAAAGCCTCCAGACAATATCAAGATGAATGCCTCAATGGCTCTCTTTGCTTGTATTTACTCCACAATTTCAAAGAAAAATGGTCAACCTTAGCATCCAAGTTACCATATGTCCATCACACTTTCGTTTCTGCTCTATAACCTACAGCATTTTGTGATAGGGAATGATTCTTCGCATACTTGCAAGCCATCATTGAAAGGTATTGCATTGAAGGCCCTATCTCCAAAGTTATGACACCAAACTTAAAGTTTTCAGTTGCCCTTGTCCATCGGCTCCGGAACTTCGAAGTCATTTGCGATTAAGGGATAAAACATTATGTACTTCATCAGCAGAAGGAGTTCATATACCACAGCAGTGTTGCTAGCAGCAAGGTCAAGGTCATGGTTCCATATTTTGTTTGCTTATACTTTCTTTTGAACTCTATATCTTTAGAGCTATATGAGATTAGTCTGCAGCTTGGTATTCAAGTATATCATCATCAGGAAATATGTTGAGCACAACATGGGATGGGTGTCTTATATACACAGCTTTTTATTATATGTTGAATTTTTATTCCACTTTTAAATCTAAATTGTTGAGCCGTTTGAGATAAGGGATGAAACTTGGTATAGCTGCATATCATCACTAAAAATGTCATATCACATTCAAGGTCAAAGTCACAATTCAACGTTTTAGGTTTGTCACCACTTGTTCTTCTGCTTTCTAACTTTTGAAGATAAATGGACGAAGCTTGGAAGACTGGTATAAAGTTGCAGGTCAAGATGCTCGCTCTCATCAAAGCTGTTACAGTTGCAACAGTAAGTCGTGCTACACTTACGCGTCTTTGTTTGGTGGTGTCTCTTGCATGAAATTCAAGGTTTTACCCTTAATGTCAAAGTCACATGGGGATTTTGAGTGGTCTAAAGCACTCACCGTTATGGATCATTGCCATCGCACCTCTGCGTTCGTTCGAGTCTTGGGTTTGGCCAATGTGGATATGTGGGTAAGCTTGCCAGTAACTTCTTATGAGTTAATGATTCTTTCCAGGGTTTTGCCGGGTTCTTCGTCCACCATTTATACTGGCCGCCATGTATAGCCTACCTTATGTTGAAATGTGGCGTCAAAACCTTACAAAAACATCACATGCATTGTTTTTGTAACCCTTTTTCAGCACTTTTGCTCAAATGGTCTTTAAGGTATATCGCTGAAACTTGTTTACTTTCCTCACCTGTCTAGTAACTTTTCAGAAGCTTTAAAAGTCATAAATTTCATTTTTGTGAACTTTTGTGACCTCACCATGATCAGTGGGGGAAACACTAAATTATAGTTCGTTAAAGACGGCATTGTGAATGACATCTGCGTCTGTTTCTCGTTGATTCTTCCTGTCCGTATATCAAAATGCAACTAAAATTACCGAATTTATTTTGTGCAGGAGTAATTTAAACATAATTAATATGACATACAGCGCAAAACCATTCCATTAATGCATGCTGAACTATACTGGTCTGTGTAATCCGCCATGTTTCTATTTAGTTCTAAAGGAGTCCATTTTTGATACAGCAAAGAAATCAAGGACAAGTACATTACAGCTGAATAGGAAAGCTAGGCCTACCCGACATGTGCATACCTTCTGAATGCTCATTCTTGACCAGTGTTCGTGGTCTGTCTATGTCAACTGACAATCAGAAATATTAATGGTGAGGCGGCTCAATGGTGGAGAACAGACTCTCTAGCATGTGAGTCACGAGTTTGAACCTTAGTACTGACAGGCTGTTTCAAATACTCTTGAGCAAGGTACTTGGATACAGTTGATCTAATTTTTCTATGTTTAAAAAGAAAAGCCACCTTAAATATAGATTATTATCAAGTCTTATTCTCTAATCAATTTTTTCAATTTATCCTCAGGATCAAATTCTGATTACACGCATATAGAGTGGACATGAGGGAGAGCACGCATATACAGTTGCTATGAGGGAGAGCACACGGTATAAGTTGATATGAGATAGAGTATGCATATACAGTTGATATAAGGAGACCATGCATATATAGCTGATATGAGTGAGAGTGCGCATATAAAGTTGAGAGAGAGAGAGAGAGAGAGAGAGAGAGAGAGAGAGAGAGAGAGAGAGAGAGAGAGAGAGAGAGAGAGAGAGAGAGAGAGTGCATATATAGCTGATATGAGTGAGAGTGCGCATATAAAGTTGAGAGAGAGAGAGAGAGAGAGAGAGAGAGAGAGAGAGAGAGAGAGAGAGAGAGAGAGAGAGA